AGGACCAAAATTGTATTTTCAAGGAGCATCAAAATCATGCTAATTGTACATTCTTACCTCAAAACTTCAGCTGAACGGAATAATTCAGAGATCGCTAGCGCTTCGTGATAGAGATCCATCTTTTTCAAGGAGTTTTCAAGGGCTTTTTCAAAATGTTCAAATTTTCAAGGAGTTTCAAGTGCCCTTGAAAACGAGTTTTCAATTCAAGCACTTTTCAAGGATTTAAGGACCTGCACAGACCCTGTATTTTGTTTGCTCTGGTTTGTTATGTTTGCTATGTTTTGTGCTGTGTTCATCATCCACATTACACTATTTACTCCTCCAAGATATTTATTCATCCATCCATCATAAATTCACTGAAATTACCTTCCTGTATAAGCTTGAAAACTGCTTCAGCATAATCTGTGTAATGGGTATGTCCTTTAGCAATCTCTTCATTCTTTGTAAGCCCGTACATTCTGATGTGATACTCAAGTCCAAAAGTTCTTCMACAGGTTCGGTATCGTGGCCCTCTAACTTTAGTTCCTCCATAAGAGATGCAAGGAGAACCARGCCCTTGGATGCAAGGTTTGCTACATAGATATTKGCACCTTGGAGACTAAGTATCGAAATGAAAAGAAATAGAAATTTATAGAAAGAAAAGATAACTGGAATTAAACTGGACAATAGTGTAAACCTGTTGGTATTACACATTTTTTGTCATTTCAAAATTCAGAAAATTCAGTAACTTTCTATTTTTTAATTTAAGCAAAATCTTCTACATGACAYACCATTTAATCTTGGCAGAAGCTAGTTCTTTTTGCTTTAAACTCCTTGTAGTATCAACGCCATACACTGGAGCCATTGCCTTTTCTATGCAGTAGACTACCATYARGTTCAAGTTCTGTAATGAAGGTCCACCAGCACGKGATGAYGACCCAATAACATGGCATAGTGTGTCATAAATGTTCAACTAATAAATGAAAAAAAAAATATCAGTGAGGTTTTTATCTAGGTTAACCTCTTTTATCTCTTATTAGACTAGACTAGACTAGACTCCCACGAAAATAGTATAATTACATGACAGAATAGACCCAATAACTGTAAGAGATAATATAGGTGTAGTGACTTGGGCTCCAAGAGAGAGAGTGGATTTAAGGGAGAGGGGAGAGGAGAAGATTGGACAAAATGGGGGGAGGGATGGGGAGTAGAGGTGACCCAATTGGGGGAGAGAGGGGAGGATATATTTGAAACTTACACTTGAATCAACAATGTTTTCCACAGCTTTTTCAATCTGSTCCTCATCAGTTTTGGTAGACTTGATGCTGGTTTTGACAGCAGATTTCACTGTTTTTGTTGGTTTACTTGCAAACATGGTGTCACCTGGCATGAAACTTCCTGTAGCAACAGTCAAGGCAGCGTCAATACAACACAATGCAAGAACAGCAACTTTGTTGAGTCGCTTGGCCATCAAAGGTTCAAGAACAGGTAGTGAAACAATGCTTGATATCATGACCATCTCAGAGGATAATTCTTGAAGGCTGAAATGGATACAAGCTTGTGTGAGTATTACTAATTTTGATAYAATTGTAGTTGTAGCTCCTGTTGTTATTGTTGTCACTGTTTCTAATAACTTATTATTGCT